CACCGCACATTTGTTTAAAGTATTCAGACGCCTACAGAGCAAAGAAATAATGTTAGCAGAGACAGGACACCACTGGTGGGTGGATAAGTTATTTTTTCTCTCAGTTGACATGTTTAATGAGATTCTTTGAATCATAACTCTCAATGACTCCTCCCCTGAGCCATGGGGCAGCTCCACCCAGTAAATGCCTGTGATGTCTCCTTTCATAGGAACAGCCACAGCAACAAGAAACCAGCAGAGTTGTTGGTAAACGCTATGTAGTATCTCAAGTAAAAATTCACGTACAAAAATAAAACCATCTCTAACCACTCATCAACTTAGGCATCCTGTTTAAAAACCAGTGAGTTCTTATACCAAAAGGAAATCCAAGCCCTCTTTAATGCCCTATTCTTTTTACAACTTCCTGTCTTAGTATCTATACTAATAAAAGGGTAACATGCTAATTAGACCAGACATCTTCCAGACATCCATCTGGACATCCTTCCAGACAAAGCAACAGTGGTGGGGGCTGAGGCAGAGGAGGTTAGGGGCGATCAGGCAGGCAGGGGAGCAGTTAGGGGCATCAGGCAGGCAGGCAGGCAGGTGAGCAGTTTGGAACCAGCGGTCCCAGAATGCAAGAGAGATGTCTGACTGCCAGATTGGGCCTAAACTGGCATTTGGACATCCCCCGAGGGGTCCCGGATTGGAGAGGGTGAAGGCCAGGCTGAGGGACACCCCCCTGCCCCGCCTGTGCATGAATTTCACACACCGGGCCTCTAGTAATATAACGTTTGGTATAGTTACAGCAGGTGCAAATGATTATTTAAAAATTCCTATACTAAAGCTTCAAGGATCAGAATCTTACAGAGTCCATTGCTTGTAGACTTAAAATGTTCTTGAGAGTGATGATGATTCTCAAATATAAAGTTTGGTAATGACTAAAAGTGATAATCATGGAACTACTCATTTCTTTAAGCACTTAATATAATGCTTGGTATAGTTACAGCAGGTGCAAATGATTATTTAAAAATTCCTATACTAAAGCTTCAAGGATCAGAATCTTACAGAGTCCATTGCTTGTAGACTTAAAATGTTCTTGAGAGTGATGATGATTCTCAAATATAAAGTTTGGTAATGACTAAAAGTGATAATCATGGAACTACTCATTTCTTTAAGCACTTGGATCAGAGCATGCTTCCAAATAGGAGTCATATTGTAGCTGAATATTTTTTTTCCCCCCTGCCAAACAGTAATGTTAAACTTAGGGATATAACTTAGCTTCATTGGGAATGAAACAGTTAAAGAAAAAACCCCTCACTGGCAAATAATGAAATAGCTGCAGAAAGAAACCCTTTGCACACACAGGAATAAATGATATGCAAAACCCATCAGGCCCCAATTCTTTCTATCATCTTCCAGGCGGCCATCACTTAGTCTTCCTCGAATGAACCTTCTGCAGTGTTGCACCATCAGTCTTCCCGTTTTGCTCCAACTGCAATTCTTCTGTTTTCATAGGATACCAGCATTTAACTCACACAAATTCCAACTGACCATGAGGCCTCTTCCAGGCTTTACGTTTCTAGTCCTGCTCTTGCAACTTGTCTAACAGTTTAGACACACAGGAGAAGAGATAGTGTTTTTGCCTGCTGATAAGACTGCCTTTGATTTCACAGGTTATGTGGTAGCCTGTTTAGAGAATAAACAAAGATAACCCAGAGCACCTATGTTCAGGGAAATTCTCTCGGTTGGCGGGAAGGGAATGAAAATATGCAGCTAAGAAGAAGTCCTCAGATTTCCAAACGAGTGCACGCAAGGTCCCCCTCTGGGGGGCATCAGTACTCAGAGGACTTGTACCCACAGTGTTTTAGTTCTCAAATGTTTTCAAGACTTAAAGAGTCTGGACTGGTTACAGTCAGTTGTAGGCCTGGGTTTCATTAATCACACCTGTAACCAAATAGCCACTTGACTTCATTTGGGCTTTACTGGTTGAGTGGTGTTTATAACCAGGTTTACTGGGCATGGAGGCCTACGGGGGTGTCAGAGAGGCTGACTTCACAAACTCTAGATTGGAGTCAAACAAAAAAGACCCAGGAGGCCAGTTTTATAAAGGTCAATATTATCTTTTTCTGTTGGTAGTGCAGAACTAACGGCCTCTCGATTTGGAAGCCCAGAAGTTATTCCCTGGGTTTTGGGGGGATTCAGTGTCCCCTAGGACCTTCGAAGAATGCCCACTGGTGGGACCTTACCACTTAGAAACAACAGTTTCAGCTAGACCAGCTGTGAGCTCAGTCTGAGTCGGGCACTATGCCTGCACCTCATATGTACTGTCCTCATCTTGGTCCTCACCACAACCCTACGGTATAGATATGATTATTGAGCTTCACTTTATAGATGAGGAAATGGGGGCTTCGGTCACAAATCTTGTCCAAGGCGACAGGACTAGAACATGGTGGCCCTGGCACTTAAAAACAGTATCTTCTTCTTCTTCTTTTTAAAATATATTTTTATTGATTTTAGAGAAAGAGGAAGGGAGAGAGAAGTAGAGCCCGCAACCCAGGCATATGCCCTGACTGAGAACAGAACTGTGACCTCCTGATTCATATAGGCCAATGCTCACCTGCTGAGCCACGCCTGACGGGCAAAACCAGTATCTTCTTCATCCCTATTTTGTTGTAGTTAGTCCTCATTCGAGGATATTTTTCCATTGATTTTTTTTTTTTTGAGAGAGAGTGGAAGAGAGGGAGAGAGACACATCAATTGGTTGCCTTCCACATGTGCCCTGACTAGGGCCTGGGATTGAGCCTGCCACCAAGATACATGCCCTTGACCAGAACTGAATTGGGACCCTTCAGCCCGTGGGCTGAGGTTCTATCCACTGAGCAAACTGGCTAGGGCTTCATTCCTTTCCAAAATAAATGCTAATCGTGATAATATATGGGAGCAGCTACTATCTGAAGTATGATTCCTCAAATGAATGGGCGAACAATGGTATTGCACCATCTGTCCAGAAACTGGTCGTTCCCACCCCGGGGCCCTCACAGGGCTCAGCTCCAGAGGAATGTGTCAGTCTTATCTGCTGGGCAGCTTGCCCCTGCTCTGCGGGGAGGGAGCTCGGGTGGGCCAGCACAGGTTCCAGAGCTTTGCTCAGGGAGCTTCAAGCACCTGATAAAGGCAGAACAGGCGGGCTTCTGGGCCTCTTACTCAGAAAGAAAACAGGGACAAGTACAAGAGAAGAGTGAGGAAAGAAGAAGAAACAACTGTCCAAGACCGGATAAATAAAGATCGTTTTCCAATTCTTAATGATAAGTGCAATTACTAAAGGGAATTAGTGCAATTACTTGAAAAAATCACTCACTACCCTCTTAATAAACCAGAAAAGTAGCAAAGTGCAAACCTACTATATGGCAAGCTGCTTTACGTAGCTTAGGCATGTCAAGGGCTGTTTCCCAACTAAGTGCAGACTGAAGATGATGGTATGAATATCTATAATTTTTTAAAATGTAATTTTATTATTATTACTAGAGGTCCGGTGCACGAAATTTGGGCATGGATAGGGTCCCTAGGCCTGGCTGGTAATTAGGGCCAATCTGTGGGGCAATCGCCCTCCTTCCTCCCTCCCCCCACTCCCCTGCACCCTTCTTGGCCAGCCTGGGGCCTGGAGGCAGCTCTTGTGTCGAGCGCCTGCCCCCTGGTGGTCAGTGTGCATCATAGTGACCAGTCATTCTGCTGTTTGGTCAATTTGCATATTAGGCTTTTATTATATATAATTTTTAATTCTCACCCAAGGGTATTTTTCCACTGCTTTTTTGAGAGAGTGGGAGAGGGAAAGACGAAGAGAAACAACCATGTGAGAAAAACATATGGATTGGTTGCCTCCTGCGCACACCCTGACCAGGCCAGGGAGGAGCCTGCAACTATAGTACATGCCCTTGACCAGAATCAAACCTAAGATCCTTTGGTCCACAGGCCAATGTTCTATCCACTGAGCCAAACTGGCCAGGGCTGAATATCTATTTTTTTTCTTTATTGATTTCAGAGAGGAAGGGAAAGGGAGAGAAATAGAAACATCAGTGATGAGAGAGAATCATTGGTTGGCTGCCTCCTGCACGCCCCCTTCTGGGGATGGAGCCCGCAATCTGGGCATGTGCCCTTGACCAGAATCGAATCCGGGACCCTTCAGTCTGCGGCTCTATCCACTGAGCTAAACCTGCTAGCGCTTAATATTTTATTAAAGCAAAACTTCAACTGAGTTTCTGCAACGACATTAACATCTGCATTTAAAATCAACTACTACTCAAAGCCCTGGCCCTTGTGGCTCAGTTGGTGGGAGCATCGTCCCATGTACCAAAGGTTGTGGGTTTGATTCCTGGTAGGCCATATACCTACACTGAGGGTTCAATCCTGAGCCTGGTCAGGGTGTGTGTGGGAGGTAACTGATCAATGTTTCTCTCTACCGCTTTCCCCCATCTCTCTATAAAAAAAAAAATTCATAAACATGTTGTCCTCGGGTGAGAATTAAATAAAAAATAAACTACTCAAACTATTTCACCAAGGTAAAATTTCACACCGCACTACAGTTCGTGTTTGCTGGCCCTGTGTTCCAAGGACTGAGAAGCATCTGGAAGCGGCTGATAGCAGATGAGATGAAAATAACACAATCAGTAAAACAAGTGTCTCCAGCTCCTCTGCTGACAGCTCTGAACCGGCTGCACATTTCACAGGAAGATGCCCAAATGCCCCTGTGTGGCTCCCACCTTTCCTTCTGACATGTTCGTCTCGGTTTCTTGAAGGAGAGTCATTTTCCGTGAGTCTACTTATGTGAACACGTGAGCAACAGCCCTTGGATTTTCCATTACAAACAAGTTGATGGCTGTTACTGTGAATCCTGAAAATTTTTTTTTGAAAGAAAACCCAAGCTCCAGCCTTTCCCCATGTGCTCCCATCCGGCGTCAGATTGAAAGCACTCCGACAGCCAGAGCGGCCGGCATCCCCTTCCCGCGTATAACCTGGGAGATGTTATTCTGTGCACAAGAGGAAACCAAAGCCAGGCAGGACACGCTGCAGAGTCCAAACACAGATCAAGGCCCAGTTGTTTAGGCTTTTCATACAATATCTAGGAGCACACATCTTTCCCTTGAAGGGGGACAGCTTCTCAAACAGTGAGGAGGCCAGTGGAAATGATAAAGTACAGAGGAGGCCCGGCCCCGCAGAGCAGGGAAACAGAATTTCACATTGCTATTAAAAAAAAAAGTATTCAAGAACCTAATCATGACCCTTGGGCTGTAAGGCTGCGGGGATATATTGTGTTGTTGTTGATCCTCACCCAAGGATATTTTTCCCATTGATTTTGGAGGCAGTGGAAGGGAGGGGGAGAGACACAGAGAGAGAAGCATCAATGTGAGAGAGACACATTGATTGGTTGTCTCCCACACCCCAACCGGGGTGGAGGGGATCAAGCCTGAAACTGAGGTATGTGCCCTTGACTAGAATAGAGACTGGGATCTTTCAGTCTGTAGGTCGCTCTAACCACTGGATAAACCGGCTAGGGCTGCAGTGATATATATATATATATATATATATAAAATATATTTTTATTGATTTCAGAGAGGAAGAGGAAGAGAGACATTGAAACATCAATGATGAGTGTCACTGATCGGCTGCCTCCTGCATGCCCCACACTGGTGATGGAGCCCACAACCTGGGCATGTGCCCTGACCAGGAATCGAACCGTGACCTCCTGATTCATAGGTCAATGCTTAACCACTGAGCTACGCCGCCAGGCAGCAGTGATATTTTTATGGCCCAGGAATTCTTGAGCTGCTGCTGCTGTTCAGGGGCCCACTCACTAAGTGGCTTAAAACATATGAAATGGATGATGTGATGCAATGCGTAAATATTTCCTAGGACACATCATATGAGTGGCCTGATTTCTGTGTTATCACCAATGACGAATTGAAAATATATTAATTCTGCCGCACGCTAAGCATGAAAACATCTGAAGAATGTCTGCAGTAGTTTCTATTCCAGATGCTGCCTCCCTCCCTCCCTCCTCACCTGCCCGGGTTCTTCATTCCAGAGCACACAGCTCTAATGCTGCGCTCTCAGTGCGGGGCTTGGAACTCAGGTTCTTTCAGAGCAATCATTTGATTGGGTTTGAAAAGTGACAGTGTCCTGTGGTTAATAGGGCTTTTTTCTTTCTTTCTTTCTTAAACTATGAGAATTAGTCTATTCCATCTACCATTCTAAACATCTTCCCTATCTTTCTCTTAAAACCATTGCTTAAGTTGGCTGCTTCGGAAAACACTGTATCACCTAAGAAAAGAAAAAATAATACTTTCTCAGAAATACTACTGCTTTCTTTGCCGACAAAGTGGAAATAAAAATTGGATGCCATTCTATCTTAATATTTTTCCAAGTTAAAACAAGTACTGACATTGAAAGAACATTTATTTTAATTTTACAATCAAGTCAGCATGTGAATTTTGTTTAGGTATCATCCCCCCCGCCCACCGCCCCCCCGAATCCAGCCTTTATGGCTTATAGGTTTTGAGAAAAATGACAAAGCAGGAATTACTTAAAATGAATGAAATGTCACGAAGTGTGGAAGGCTCATCGGTGTCCGTCATTGTCTGCTGTATGTTTTATTACTTGCGCTTCGATAACACCCAGCCCAAAAACCCACCAGCACAACACAATGAACAAGGATGCCTGACTCTTAGTCACATTTCACATCAGTGCTCATTTGCTGCCTGTCCACGTGGGTTAAAGGCTGGGTTATTTTCCAGCCGTATTTAATCCTATTGTTACTAGTTTGTACCTGGAAAAGTGGAACTGGTTAGGGGAGGCTTTCCTGGAATTCAAGCAATGGTCCTCCTGACTCTAGTATGGAGAACCCCCCCCCCCACCCCATTTACTCCCCTGAATGTATTTTTTCCATCTAGTACAACAGCAGCTCTGGCCTGGTTAGGGTACCCGGTTGGGCGGTGCAGTCCATCACATTGCCTTTTTAAAAAATCCTCAACTTTCGTAACCATCTGAAGTTAGCTGTTTGAGCAATCATATGGTGTTGAATATGGAACAGGACTATTTGAGTACCTCCTAGGGCAGTGCTATTTTAACGGCAATACTAAATAATAGAATTTTACTTATTTTAATTAAAAGGCCTATGATTTATAATGAAGCAAATCACTATACCCATTTGCTAATCAAAGACCTGACCGAATTAGTTAGAACAAAAGCAAACAAAACCATCTTGTATTGATAAGCACATTATTCTTAAAAAAAAAAAATGCTCAAAGCATTTCCATTTACCTGCATAGAGCCTCAATGGCATCTCTGTCCAAAAAGTCATGCTCTCTCTTGACCAAGGAAATATCAATAGGGAACAGGAGATCTGAAAAGACAAATACAGAGGAAAATACAAACAAATACGTTTATTGAGCACCCTAGGTTTGTACCAAACTAGCCCAGTTTGGCAAGGTGTGGGGGAGGGAACCCGCGAAAGTACTTTTGAATACCTACTGTCTGCAGAGCAAACACCTCCTTCCCTGTCAAGTGCTGTGGGAGAAGAAAGCAACTTCAGACAATTCTGTATCGGTGGCCTCAGGGAGCTTAGGACCTAAAGTGGTTTGGAGACTCAGGTATCAAAGATAAGTGAGTGCTCACAAACACTCTTCCCACCTTTAAACACATCAGCAGGCTAGAGGGCCACGCCATAAATTATAACTTAAGCTGGAATGAGTGCCCTGAGAAGGATGCCCCCTTTTAATGTGGCCAGGCTTTTTGGTGGTGGTGTTGTTTTTCCATGCGTCTCTCTGTTCACAGTGGACCAGGGAAGAGGTCATGGAAAATTGGGCCAAAGAAAGACGGAGAGAACAATGAATGGCAAGTGGGTCAACCAAATCTAACCATTTGCAGGACATCCAAAGCTCAAGAGAATTCAGGATATGCTATTTTTAAACACACACTAGCACTTCCATATGGCTTCTGAGGACTTTGTAGAACTCTTCCTATAACGGAAGGCCAGCTATAGAGCCGCTGTAGACCAACAGAACCCCGAGTCCCTTCGTCTGTGGAAGAGTTCAGTACTCGGAGGACATGGAAGAGTTCGAGCAGAACCGAGAAGCAGAAAGGGAGAACCAGTCCACCCAATGAAAAAGTCGCTCTTCTATTCCTTGCTGAGAAATCCACCCCCCGCCCCCCCAAAAATCCCCGAGTAGGGAGAAGACCAGCAGCACCACTAGAAGTGTACATCCACGCTGGAACTGCCATGAGACAAAAACACGTTATCCTCCCTCAGAGCCCCGGCTAACAGGGGGAAAAATGGGCTTGCCCATGTATTACAGATCGCTTCATGAGTAATTTATTTTCTAGAGATAACACTTAAGATGCCTTTTCCTTTACAATGTTGAAAACTAACATAATGAGTACTACAGTCGATTCTTTTTTTCTAAAGGCTGGAGTTAGGTAACTTATACTATTCCCTGAATGGTAACATAGGAAAACCAATGAAGTAGCTAGAGCCCAAAGATTTATGAAGAAATATATGAAAGTTAGTATTGCAGGATTATATCTCATCATTAGATTGTAGATTGAGTCTCTTTGGCAAATGTTAGTGGCCCCAATATAAGTGGAAATAAGAGAGGGGCTTACAGTGAATGCCACTTAGTAAACGCAAGCAAGGCAGACTGCAAAGTGGTTTAAGGATTATGCCACTGCGTTTCACTTTGAACAGCCACCAGAAATTCTAAGTATTAAGTAACAGAGCTGCCATTAAAGAATATATTTTGAATACTTCCCAAGTATAACATCAGATCTATAAATGTAAGTGGAAAAGCTCACATGCTGTTAAATGTATATGAGACAGCAACTATGTTATTTTAGCAATTCCTAACTTAGTTTACCCAGGCAGGGCTGTATTTTAGATTACTTTCCTGATTCAAATTAACTTCAAAATTTTGTTAAAATAAAAAATTCTAGGGTAGTAGGGGCTAAAAGCAAGAGAGGTGTGAAATAGTTAAATCAATAATTTCTATTACTTGCCTCCTCAACTCTTTCCTGAAAAAAAAAGCTTTCAATAGATGAGGGTGTATGATGCGTAGATGTTCCCAGAGTTCTTCAGGTTAGGATTTAAACCTCTAGCTTGGGTTTAAAGGCAGGAAGTAAAAATTGCCAAGGACCAAAATAGAGCTGAACAGGAAGACCAGGAATGTGTGGGTTGGTGTGTGGAGTGTGTGTGTGCTACGCACCCTGCACACAGTGACAGGAAGAAGGGGCGAAATGATAGCCCAGAACAATACACCTCAAACGCAGGCTTATGCTTCAAGAAGAACTGCCAACAGGAAGGGACCCCCGGGATGTAACCTGAGAAACTGCAGCGTGCCTTTCAGGATTTGGGGAGGCCTGAGGACAGAGACTGGAGCTGGGTCTTAGCAAACGTACACATCACAAGAAAGTGCTGCTGCTTGGCAGCAAATCAACACCAAAAATGGACATAATTGGAGGAAATTTAATTTCTAAATAGGAGAACAAAAGGGACAAAGGACAGTCCTGGGACCGCCGCTGCAAATGCAATTATCTCCCCCATCTCCAGGAGAGCTGTGAATGGAAAATCCAATAGAGTGCTGCCCCCACCCCCAAAGCCCTCCTGAAGGACAGAGACACTCTCCAGGGTGAGAGGTCAAACATTCTCTCCAAAGGGAAGATAAGCAACTCCGTCATAACACACATACAGGTTAACCAAATATCTTAAAAAAAAAAGGCATTGGAGATGCCCACTGACATGGGGGACAGTAAACGGTTTTATACGGTCTAACAGTAACATAATTCTGAATCCAACATCATGGGAAAAGCATACATTCGATCTGGGCTACAATGAGGAAGACCAGGTATTGTAACTTAGGTCATGAATGAATTTAACTGAGTGAGCGAGGGAAAGGAAATCATCTCTAGGGTCTCTGCCCAACTTGCTCCTGGGAAGCAGCCCCGTCCCCACCCAACTCCATGCCCCTCTTCAAGGCAGCCTGCTGATCATGTCTAGCACTATAGCCATTCTTGGCCTGGACCCATGAGGTTTTGCTCAAGTAGTGAAGAAGGTTGGCAGTGACCTCTAGCTCCTACTGAGAGAACACTGCCATTGCTATAGGAAGCAGTCTGCTATTTTATTATTCTGGAAGGAGAGAAGAACTAAAGACCTGTTTTAAAATAACTATTCATTGTGAGAAGAGTTCAACGTGAAAACAAATTTAAGTGACATCATTTCATCTGGATCTTTTAGAGATGTTGTCACATGGTGGCTGTCTCATAGCATCTCCTTCCTTCTTCATTAATGAAAAAGGTGTATTTTTAAATGTGAATCAACCAAAATTATGTTTGCTCTATGGGGGTCTGACAACCCCTTAAAGTTCTCTGAGGTTTGAACTGTCTTGTTTTTGTAAGACAGGTAGCACCCACCAGTGCCAGGCATCCTTGTCGGTGCTGAATTAACACTAGCTGCTCAATCAGTTGACTGGGTGGCGGGATGAACGGTAAATGAATAAAGGAGACTCCTAGTGTGGTCATCTGAGTAGTATTACGGAGGCAAAGAATGCTCAGTTGGAAGAAGTCCTGGAGGTCATTTCATTTACTCTCAATTTAGGAACCTCTTCATTTTTCACCCAACCTTTGCTTGAAAATTACTCGTAAAATGGAGTTCACTCATTCACAACTGCAATTCTCTTTAAATGATTTAATACAGAAAATAATAAAACTCTCATCTAAACGCACAGCCTACTCTCATCTCGCTGTGCAGAGCACACTCCACCACCATGCGGCAGCTAGAGGCTGAGAATGATGGAGACTCGAGGTGCTCCCCATCCTAGCCCTCAAGACCCCAGGGCACTGACGAGAACACGAAGTAGTAGAACTTCAGCCCAGATCCGAATTACTTTTAAAAAAGACCATTTTTCTTCATTAAAAAATTGAATGCCATGGGAGAAATAATATTCATCGAATGACAATCTCAAAAACGTGAAAAGCCTCATCACAAACTGCAACACAAGACCAAGAGGTTTAGAATAAAGAGCTCTTCCAAACCATCAAGAAACGCACACTCACTCAGGAGAAAAACGGGCAACAGACTTTACAGAAGAGCAAACATCTGGCCAGACGATATGAAAAAAATGTGCACTGTATCATCAATGATTAGGGAAATGGAAGTCAAACTCTGTAAGATATTTTATACCCATTTGATTGGCAAAAATTAAAGTATAACAATATCCAGTGTTGAGAATACATGATAGGAATGAAATTCGGCACATTTTTGAAAAACCTGCCTCATCAAATCAAGTACACATATTCTCCATTACCCAGTCATCCTACCCTTAGGTATATATGTGAGATAAGTTACTGCACATGTACCACAAGAATGTATAAGAATGTTTGAAACATTACAGTTTATAAAAGCAAAACAGAAAAATCAAAATGCCCAGCCAAGTGAGTACATAAATAAACTGTGCTAGAGTCACACAATGGATGCTATACAACAGTGACAGCAGTATAGGGACATAGTCCAGGGGGCACTGGACTGGAAGAATCTTAATATAAGAAGTGAAAATATTAAATTCTACAAGTTTACTCAGAGCATAAGACCCTTTTGGTAAAGGAAAACAAGTTTATAAAAGGAAAGCAAAAAAAGAAAAGATAAACAGAGGTTCAGGAAGACGGTGACTTTGGGTAGGGGCATGGCAGAGGGAGAGCATACGGTTGTGTTATTATCAAGATCCTAGCTTTTGCTTTGAGTGGGGGCGGGGGGTCTTAGGTGCTTGTGACATTGTTTTTTTAAATGAAGGAAATAGCTAAGTATATAAGAAACTGTCTGAAAGTAAATAATAGATAATAATAATTATGAACCAAGGATACGATTATGTTAACATTTTTTAAATATATATTTGTATTGATTTTAGAGAAGGGAGAGGGAGAGAAAGATAGAAACATCAATGATGAAAGAGAATCGTTGATTTACTGCCTCCTGCACGCCCCCTACTGGGGATTGAGACCGCAACCCAGGCATGTGCCCTTGACCAGAATTGAACCTGGGACCCTTCATCTGTAGGCTGATGCTCTATCCACTGAGCCAAACTGGCAAGGGCTATGCTAACATTTTTACCAATGGTGTTCCCGGCTCACCTTCATAAAGCTGTGAGGGCTATGCTAACATTTTTTAGCAATGGTGTTCCCGGCTCACCTTCATAAAGCTGTGCATACTGGGGGAAGCCTGTTGCTCGTAGCCAATCACAAGCTTCTTTGGCTTCAATTTCTGCAATAGAACAGAAGACAAAGAGGTTAAGTCACAGGTACCTCAGCATGCTTCTTCCTTATACGCTCTGATAGTTATACAAGCAAAGCACGATGTCTGATGGTAACAAATAAGGCCCCCAAATCCCCTTAATTCAAATGATTTAAATATTGTGCAGCATTCAGACTTTTAAAAATGCATATAATTATCCATCTTTCCTTAAAAAAGGGGGGGTGGGGTGAGGTCCTAGCACTAACTAGGTTACCCTGTGCTGCTTCTATGTTCCGGTTATTAATGATTATAGCCTAACTCGGTTTACTTTTCACATCAACAGAAGGCCAAGTACATCTGACACCCTGGAAGAGCACTAGCCTGACCTTGAGCCACCTGATGGGATGTACATTAAGCCCCAGGCATTGGGGCAACAGGTCTCTTCAGATGCAGTTACAGGAGGGAGGCACGGGCTGTCAGATGACTTGGGGGCATTAATTCAATAAATCCCACAATCCTGGGAGGTTGAAATGCCTAATAAAGCTTTTATTTCCCTGTGATTAACATCATGTAGAATGTAGATAGTTTTGATAAACAGAAAGGCCAAGTGCAACTGACGCATTACTATGTTCAAACTCATTTAAGGACGTAGTCACGGTTCTGTTAAAACTGACTCACACAGGAGGTCAGGGCACATTCATGAGTTTCTCTGTTTGCACAACAAACATTCCTTTAAAACAAACAAACATATTTTTATTGATTTCAGAGAGAGGAAGGGACAGGGAGAAAAACATCAATGATGAGAATCACTGAACCCTGACTTCCTGGTTCATGGGTTGAAGCTCAACCACTGAGCTATACCGGCCAGGCAATATTCTTTAAAAAAAAAAAAATGTTTTCATTGACTTTTTAGAGAGAAGGAGAGAGAGAGAGAAACATCGATGAGAGAGTAACACTGATAGGCTGTCTCGTGCATGCCCCCGACTGGGGATGTAGCCCCAAAACAAGGGCATGTGCTCCAACCAGGAATTGAACCAGCAACCCCTTGGTGCACGGGAAAATGACCAACCAACTGAGCCACACTGACCAGGGTTCCTTTATTTATTTTTAGTAATTTTCTTTAACATAGTTGATTTGATTTTTAGAGAGAGAGAGAAGGACAGAAACATCAATGTGAATGCCTAATATCCATAGGTTGCCCTCTGCATGCATGCCACCGGGGATCTAAAGCGAAACCAAGGCATGTGCCCTTGACCAGGAATCAAAAGGGCAACCTCCTGGTACACTGGATGATGCCCAACTAACTGAGCCACACTGGCCAGGGCAAGAATATTCTTTCAGTTCTTCTTCCCACCTTCACCAGGCCATCAGACTACATAGGTATCTAAGGCTATGCACTCATTTATAATTGTCTCAATATTGCTTAATTTATTCCAAATTCAAACCTTCATTTAGCATCTCTCCTCTGAGCCAGATGGGAGCCCATCTTGGAGAAATACATACCTTATTTCTGCCTGATACCTTAATGGTTTCAAAGCATTTAGGGCTGGCCCTAAGTTTGGCTCAGTGGATAGAGCGTTGGCCTGCGGACTCAAGGGTCCCAGGTTCGATTCAGGTCAAGGGCATATACCTTGGTTGCGGGCACATCCCCACCCCAGTAGGGGGTGTGCAAGAGGCAGCTGGTTGATGTTTCTCTCTCATCGATGTTTCTAACTCTCTATCCCTCTCCCTTCCTCTCTGTAAAAAAATCAATAAAATATATTTTTAAAAAAAGCATTTGGGGCCTATTATTTTCAAGAGGTCCTTGCCTTTAAGGAAAGGTAATTATGAATGCTCAAATTCATGAAGGCAGATAGGAATGTCCTTATTGAGCAGAACAAAGGAAAAAACAACCTGCTATCTTCTGATGAGTTAGTTAATACCCAGTTACCAACAACTACGGCAGTAGAATGGAAAAATCGTCATGGCAAAGTTTACGTCCATGAATCTTTTATTATAAAAGCAGCAGCATCAAACACCAGATTCAGGGCTGAATTGGGAGTGAAGAATAAAGTGACATAAACATGTAAGAAACTCCATGTTTGCACTGCATAGAAGAACAAATAGAATTGCCCAATGGGAATTATCTGGGTTTGACAGTTTTTTTTGTATTTATACCCATATCTTGTCTCAGAAAGAAATTAAGAAGGCTTTAAATGAAATCATAAAATAAACATTTTCTAGAAAACTTTATTGCTGGAAAAATATACGGTGTCCCAAGAAAATGTACACATATTTTTCTGTAGATCTTATTATGTTTTGAAAATGAAATGTATTTTAATGAACACTGCCTTTATACTTATTCAAAGTATATACATTTTTTGGGACACCCTACAGTAGCTTAATATTTTATTTTAAAGAACGAGGAAACTACTTTTTCTCTATCTCCATGGCCCCCGCTCAAAGACAGACATGGAAAGAAAAAGGAGCTGTTTGCTCTTAGGGAATATTTTAAATAACTCAGTTTCTGACTATTTAGAGCTTATTTCTGTTGAACAGATTGTTAGACATGGAACAATAGATTGTTGAGGTACATGTTCTTGTTTTCTTAATATTTCACTTAGCAAGTGGTGAGTGACTAGAAATTCTCAATGGCCACGTTTTTTGGCTGTGTTCAGACATGACACCAGGTCACCGAGCACACACACACCAGCCTTAATTAGACACAGTTCACCAGCCAATACTGCCACCTGCTTAGAGCATGTTCTCAATGTTCTTATTAAAATGGCTTTATGCCAAGAGGCACGGAAGATATAAGGTACTGTTTTTCTAAAAAATCTTGACATTTATTTATATACTAGTAATGCTTTACAAATTACAAAGTGTTGTCACATATATTACTCACTTAAGGACCCGTGTGATTTCGGGAACTCATAAATGCCTATTGCTGCCACGTCACTCTCTTATTCATTTTCCATCACTGAGAAAATGAAATGCTCCCAAATGACCAAAAACCCATTGAAAAAAGATGGTGTCTAAATTGTTGCTCTTCTTAGAGCCACTTAGTTAGGGAAAAGTGATGTGAACAGGTGAAGATTTGCCTCCCCAGCAGAAAACCGAATGAAGGGCTTACAGGGGCTAGAAGGCAGCGCTAGCACGTTCGAGAACCGCAGATCCAGTAATTTTGCCCTCCCTGTTCCTTACCCTAAAATGGAGGAGAACCTGTCTTTCTTTCAGAGATGAAACCATGGGAAATAGATAAGCCCATATCTATTTTACATTGAAAAACGTCCATGCATGAAAACGTAAGGCTGCCTACCAAATGAGAACATAATCTGCCGTTTCTGCAGAAATCGGAATTTAAAAAATGGTAAACATTGTAAAAAGCTGTCACTGATTTTTAAACAAAGACTAGTTCATTGATTTCACTCCCACCCCTTTCCAATTACTCCCAAGAGAAAATGGTAATAATCCAATGTAAGTACTGAGTTTTTTTTAAGTAGAATTTTCTAGCCCAGCTGGGGTGGCTCAGCGGTTGAATATCAACCCAGGACGTAAGAGGCCCCTGGTTCGATTCCCGGGAGGACACATGCCCAGGTTGTAGGCTCCATCTCCAGGACAGGAGACAGGTGATTGATGATGTTCTCTCTCATCAATGTTTCTATCTCTCTATCCCTCTCCCTTCCCCTCCCTAAAAATCAATAAAAACATTAAATAAAGAAAAAAACATTTCTAAACATTTTACTTAATAAGAAATGAACTAATGTCTACATCCAAGTCAGACTGGGAATACCCTCTCTAAACTAATTTCACCCCCCTGATCCAGGCCATTAGCTTTACTCTTGTCTCCTAACTAAAACTCTGGGTCTCCAATTCTCTCCTCTCTGAGGATCCATCCAACCCTGGCTCATCAAATTTCCTAAGTTACGGTTTTGATCTTGTCTCTAACAAACTTCCTGGAACTCCACTACTCAGAAAATCAAGTCTAAACACCTCCATGCGGCTGTCAAGGCTCTTCATGTGGCTCCCGGTACTCCTCTGTATCCCAGCCAAAGTAAACTGGGTGCTCATCTTCCCACACATCTATCTCTGTGACTACTCTGGCCTGAAATGCTTTCCCATCCTCTCAAGGTCAACTATCACTTGTCCTTCAAGGCTTCGCTCAAATGCTGCCTCCTCTGGGCAGTCTTCCCAGATGCCTTTCCACAATTTTATCAACAGCTAACTTTTACGGTATGTGCAAGGCCCCTCCTAAGGGGCACTTAATGCATATTAATTCATACTCCTCAGACTGATTCTAACACATGGATTACCAGTATTATCTCCAAGACATACAAATAGGGAAATAACCAGTTCTTAAAAATGAGCTTTCTTTCATTAAAATGCCATAGTAGGATAGAGAACTAAGACACACAGAAATGAACAGATAGGTTCTATCCTTAAAAATCATTACTAATAAAAGGGCAATATGCTAATTAGGGCAGACGTCTTCCAGACGTCCATCCGGACAAAGCCACAGCGGCTGTGAGGCCCAGGGCTCAGGCCTCGCAGCCGCCGTGGCCGGCAGTGGCAGCAGCAGCAGCGGGGTGATCGGGGTGGCGCCTTCCCCTGACCATCCCGGTCGCCTCCCACAGAGGGAGCAGGCCTAAGCCGTCAGTAGGACATCCCCTGAGGGCTCCTGGACTATGAGAGGGGGCAGGCCAGGCTGAGGGACCCCCTCCCAGTGCACGAATTTTCGTGCACCGGGCCTCTAGTATATATATATATAACAATAAACAACACTCAAAATATTAAAGAAAACCATGTACACGCCTAATCACTTCAGTCGCAAGAACTGTCCCAGACCTGGCTTTCGGAGATCTCTACCAGGCAATCAGGGTATAACTTTTTCTTCAATGTACGTGAGTGGTGGTGTGAAAACTATAAGGATGGTTTTTAAAAACATTCCCCACCAGGCGCAAATGTCGTCAGAAACTAAAAACACAATGGGAATACAATGTCACTTTTGTACCTGGGTTTTCTCTAAGCAAACAACAGACAAATGTGGTGAG